TCCTCGAGGACCCCTGAATACTCCTTGCAAACTTCTACCCAAGTGTTGGCAGTTCTCCACATGGAAAGCTGTTTCCAACACTTTCTTCACTTTTCACTGTCTCAGGTTTTGGATCTTCTTCAACAGTCACCTTCATGGGAGGGCCTTCTTTGGGTATTCCCACCTAAAATCTCAATTCTTCTTTCTGATTCTCTCTTTCGTCTCGTCCCTCCTCCTTTATTTCTGTTCATAACTACCTGAAACCACATATATTTCACCTATTTACCTCATTATCCTTCTTGCGCACTTGGATGTGTGCTTCAGGGAGCTGGGATTCTTGTCTGTTCCATTCTCTTCTAGCTCCCAGTGCCTAGAACTCTGCCAGGCATATCATATGGAGCAATAAAGATTAGTTAAGTAAGTCAACCTGCATGAGGCCAAATGCTGGAATCTCAGGAGGTGAAGGGGAATGAAGCAATGAAAGACAGAACCAAGCAGACAGCAGTATGTTGACAGGACTCGCCCTGAGGGGCAGAGTGTTAAGAGAAGCCAGAGAAGGAATGGGCACTGGATGTGGAAGGAGGCAGGTGAGACAGGAATTTCAAGAAGAGAATGGCCAGTGAACACCAAACTATTGAGCAGAAGTTATCTCGAGAGATATATGAACTTATGGCTGAGAAAAGGACTTAGAAAATGAGTGCTTTCATACTCTCTCAGTGGGAAGGAAAATTGGACAGTGACCTTGGAGGTAAGCTTGGCAGTGTCTATTAAAATGTAATCCATACTGTAGAATCCAGCTGTTCCATTTCTAACTACTTCTTGTTTTAAAGAAAAATTGCACATAAACAAGGAGGTATGCCCATCAATGTTTTCTGCAACATTCTTGGAGATAGTGAAAATTGGGAGGGAAAAAAGCCCAGAAATTGGAATGGTTAAATAAATCGGAGCACATTCAGCATGTGAAGTACAATGTGGAAGTGAAAAATAATGCAGGACTATGTGTATTGACAGGGCTTGGTCCCCATGACATAGTGTTAAGGTCATAAAGCATGTTCCTGAATACCATGAATACCACCACCCCACTTCTATTGTTTTAGACCAAGAGGAGACTAGGGCTGAATTATGGATGATTAAAAAATTTTGTCCATTTTTATAATTTTTAATCACAAATCTGCATTACTTTTATAGTCCAACAAAAATTTTAGAGATTAAAACCAATTTTTCCCAACACAAGTACTTTTAAAAATTAAGAAAGGAGAATGGTCAGAGAAGAGTGGGGGAGAATTGGGTGAGTCATTGAATGTGGGTGGTTTCCTCTAGGGACATTCTGCAGAAGGTAAAGGAGTCAGTGGAGCTAAGGCAAAGACCCAGACCACAGGCGCAGATTGCTCCTCCCCCAGTAATGGAGGGGAAGGAGAGTTTTAAAATCCAGAGGAGCATTTTTATGGCTGAAGGAGATTTGAGGATTGTGTGGTATCAGCAGGTGGTTGATTGGTAAAGTAAGCTCTGTATATCTATGCATGATAACTCATCTAATACAGGCTGCCAACAAGTCACCACAGGTGACAAGAGCCAGGGTGTTAATAGCAGCAAAGCAGGGGGCACATGCTCTCCCCTCCCATCTCCAGACCCAGCCACACCATCACTTTAGGCCAAATACTAACATCACAGCAAGCAAATCTATTTGCAAGCCCTCCTCCGTAAAATCTGCATCTGAATTCTCAGTATTATTTTTAAAAACTCATAACCCTTTATCATTTCCTGAAGCCCTGCTGCTTTGGAAATATGCCCAATCTTTTCTGAAACTTACCTTGCCTTAAACAATCTGAAAAGATTTGTTCTTTCTTTATTATCCATGAGTTATAATAGCTCAGCAAAAATGTCTCCATTCTAGCCTCAATACTGATGTTTAACAATGAGTTTTAAGTAATTGTCCTGGCCAGGGTTACTCCCTGCCTGCTGTACTTAAATCTGCCAAATGACTCATTCAAAACAATTGGAAGGAATTGAAACTGACCCTTAAAATTAGAACCACTGTTATTTAGCTAAGCCACCTCAAGCGCCATTCTCTTATCCCTAGCTATACATTAGCTGCACTCATTAATGGCCTTTTGCATTGCATCTGTGTTAAGGAAAGAACCACACCTGTCTGTATGCCTTGCCCTCCTTTCCAGCAGCATTTAAATCATCCACTGAGGGTGCAAGAGGATGGAGCTCTTCCTGAGTCCCTTCACTTTATCCAGATCCCTCTTGAAGAATGTGGTGCCACTTCAAAGAGGTGGGTGTTCTGCGGGTGGCCTTACAGCTTCTGGTTGATTTATGCTGGAGTTTAGCCACTGCCTTTGCACAGACTTTGCTTCAGGAAGTATGTTTATCTGACCTTTCTTTGAATAGACAACTACACAGCAGCTCAGGAAAAAAAAAATGGGTCCTCCACATAGAGCGGTGGCATTTGGATGAGCTGCTGGAATTCTGGGGATTCTTCTTCTTTGATCCCTTAAGCCTGCCCTGGCCATGCAGCTAGCTGGGCACATCACATCCTGGACTGATGGGAAGGGGACAAGTGTCCTGAGGCTGAATGTATGATGTAGACCCTGCTGCAGTTATCACTCCAATACAAATCAGACTTACGTCCCTTGATCCACAAGAACTGGTGCTGATGCCCAGCATTGTTCTGTGTGTTTACTCAGGGAGACTGTGTTAACACTAGGCACCTGGAGGAGGGGCAGGGAAGGGATTGTGGTCAGAGAGGGAGACACATGCTCTTAAAGAGCCTTTCCTGGTAACCCCATGGAAGGCAGGTGAAAGGAGATGCTCTCCTAAGAGGGTTCTTCCTAAGGAGCTTCATTTGCTCACAGATAAGGTGGACCTGCATTAATCAGCACCACCCCCTAACTCATACGGTGGGTTATTTGGTGGATCAAATCCTGTTTCTTTCCAGGTCTACACTATGTCATATAAGAGTGACACTGTCCCCATAAAACAAACTCCAAACCCAAGTGCAAAGTGAGGCTGTGTCAGCTAGGCCCTTCAGGGAGGGGAATATGGGCAGGTTGCAGGGTGCTCATGCCCCCTAGACTCCTCCTCCAAGTTCCTTGGCCAACATTCTCTCCAGAATCCCTCAAACCTTGGAGAGTTGGCCTTGGGTGTGACTAGGAGAGTAGCAGCACCTTGCTCCCCAAAGAGGGAGCTGTTTCCTGATGCCTTCCTGTCAGATTGAAGTCCATTCCTCCGCAGTACAATGCAAAGCCAACAAACATGGAGGCCCCACTGTACCTTTCCACTGATGCTCTCTCCTCAGGGGGTGCTGCTTGAGGAACTGTAAGCCCAAAAAAACCTGTGCTTTGTCCTGCCTGCATGTCTCCCCAAATAATCAAAGGTAGATAATCAACTACCATTCCACACCAGCAGGACTGCTTCATTTAAACAAGTCATTGGTCCAAGCTGAGTACCTTCTTCAAAGATGTTTAAGAACAAGACACTTAAACAGGATACAATAACATAAATATGCCAAAGAAAATGACATGGCATTCCGTAGAGAGAGGCATTAGCTGACGCAGGTCAATTAGGGTTGCCATCAGGGGCCCAAGCAGTGTTATCTTGTTAATAGAGATTCTCACTGAGTCTTTCTGAAGTTTCTTTCCACAAGTGAAATTAAAATCACACAATTAAAATGCTCACAGTTGGGGCTAGATGTTCTTGAACTGATTGAAAGATGAAGAAGTGGACACGCCAACATTTTGAAACAGCAATTGTCTCTGTAATTAAATGCAATTAACTGACATAAATGTCTGCTTTTCTCCTCTGAAGACTGATTGAAATGCTAAGATTTTTTAAAAAAATATGTCCCCAATCTGATTTCTCTTTCCATCGCAGCTCACCACGGAGAGATAACCACTGGGTATTTTTCTTCTTTCTTGAATATGTACTTTAATTGATATTGGGCATGTATTTTTAATATGGAATTATACATATTTATTGCCTGATTTTTGTTTATATCACAAGTATTATTCTTGCTATTTAAAAAAGTTCACAAAGAATGAATGGATAAAGAAAATGTGGTATATATACACAATGGAGTTTTACTCAGCTGTAAGAAAAATGAAATTTTGGCATTTGTGGGGAAATGAATGGAACTCAGAAGGTTGAGGGCTGTATGTTTTCTTTCATATGCAAAAGCTAGAGAGGAAAAGGGAAAACAGGTTGGGATGGATCTCCTAAAAATCAAAGGGAGGTCAATAGAGGAAAGGGACCAAGAGGTGAGAGGTAGGGAGGAAGTGGGGAAATGCTGGGAAGTGATAGTAGCCAAATCATATTGTTACATTGTGTGCATGTGCAAATATACAACAACAAACACATCCTATCATTATGCACAACTATAGTGCACCAATAAAAAAGGTGGGGAAAAAGTTCACAAACATCTAAATAAAATCTCAGCCTATGAACATATCACAGTTTACCCAACCATTCTCTTTTTCATGGAGTTTTGCCATTGTAATAATATGGAAAGAAAGAACATCTTGTTGCCAAAATCTCCCTGTTTTTCTAGTTTTTTCCTTTATAGGAAAAAGGAAAAGATTTATTTTAAGTGCCATTTCCTGGGCCAAGGACTAGAATTGCTTCTTAAAGCTTTTGGTTTGTTAATTTCCATCTGGACAGTTTACCAATTATATTTCTTCAGTAAGAATGAAGCTGCCTAATCCTAAGTCCCCCTTGACACTGAGCATCATCTCTATGAGATTAAACCTGTGGAAAGGTCAGTAACCCTTTCCTAGAGAAAGGTTACTGCCCAGCAGATCCTCTGGGTCTGGAGTAATTTGTAACCAAGATCTGAATTTTTCATGTCTAGCTGTGCTTCCCAGTCAGGGTGAGTACACATTAGGTCAGTCCATGTACGTGCCCATCATCTGGTTAACTTACAGCCATGAGCGGGCCAACAAACTGTTGTCATCCATGAGGACAACTACAATCAGATTAGTCTGGAGTCTGTCCCAATGTCCCCATCTCACTCTCTTTTCCAGCTGTGTTGACCAAAGATGGACATGATGTCTTCCTAGAGAAGATAGAAGACTGGAATGTGGTAGAACTCATGGTGAATGAAGAAATCGTCTTCCATTGCAACATTAAGGACTTGGAGTTTGGTAAGCTTCTTTCTGAGTTTTTAATTCAAACTAAGAGCCCCGCAACCTGTAGCACATGAAGGAGAGCATTCCAACCACACACAGTAAAATGCTTGTGACTGAGCTTGTTTCCAGAACACTGAAAACAGAAAAGAAAAAAAAAATGAACTTAAGCCCTGAGCTTTCAAATATATGATGGAATTTAAAGATAATAGCTTTTTCTGCTCTTTAATAAGGTGTGTTTTATTATTATTTGCTTTTAAAGTAATTTCTGTTCCACTTGTTTGTTCTATCTAAACTTGCTAAGACAATTAAAGTCAATATTGCTTGTAGTATATGGCATCATCAGCAACATTCTAGGGAGTTCTTTGCCCTGGAGGGCTTCTGGCCTGGAAGACTGGCACTATGCATGCATCCCTGTGCTCAGAAGTAAGAGTTTTTACAATCCACTAACTCTGTTAAAGCCTAATTAACATTTTAAATGCCTGTGGCCTTTGAAAATGCACTCCTGGTGTAAGCCCCAGTTGTATTTAATATAATATCAAACTGAGTGTAAAGGTGGCCAAAAGAAAATGATTTCTCTCTCCCAAGGAGGTGATGGTAAGCTAGACCCACTGTGTGAAGAGGCCAGAATAGCCGTGCTAAATGCCGACTGATCCCTTCATGGAACAGACAATGTCAGCTGCCTCTGGCCATTCTGGGATGCCAGCAAAGTGGCCTTCCGGAACATGGACATCAGGCTCTACCAATCAGAACAAGGCGATGCTGGCCTCTGGTTTCCTGTATGGCTGCACAGGGGCCACAAAAATAATAAAACCACATCATTTGCAGCATCTCTCAATCTTGACCCATAGGAATAGCCCTCCAATATCAGGTACATACTGAGCTGAAGGAAATAATAAAATGCAATCTAATAACAAAGCACCATGCCTTACTAATAACGCATCATTGCCAGAAGCATTTGAGTTTCCATTCTATAGTAAGTGAAGAGCTAGGAACAGATAAAATTAAAGGGAAGGAAAAGGTTGGGGTTGGGGATAGGGGCAGGAATTTAGGCCTTTGGAAGTCTGAACCAAAAGTCAATGTCAGTACAGTATTTGGAAACCTGGTTATTTCTATAGATTTATTTCCTGTTCCCACTGGAATAAATATTTTAAATTGATAATATAAAATTAACTGAAATAAACATTCAATTATCCTCCTTTAAAATAAGAAAAGTATCTGCCTTCTCTTATATTAGCCAGTCCAACAGGATGCTCTGAACAGGGCAGGAAGAGTCCTGAGCAGAAGCAGGAAGTAGCAGCCCATTCCTTTGGAGGGGAACATAGCACTGTATAAAGAGGGTTGTAGCTATGGTCAGGATAAAAATAAGTCATGTCAAAATGATATTCTTTTTGCTACCAGGTTCTATACACAAACTGCAGGATAAATTCTTAGTTATAGAGTAAGGAAGAGGGGAGATATGTAGACACCAGTCTAATGACATTAAAGGTGAAGTCCTGCTAAAAAGGCCTCAGACAGGCAGATTACCCCACTGAAGACTGGGTCCTGTGTTGAAGGAGCAGGACTTTCAAGGCCTGTAGGGAACCCACATACCTGGGGAGCAAGCCTTCTCATGAACTTGGACAGCCTCAAACCCTCCCACACCCCAGACTCCAAAGGCCAACAGACACTCCATGAAACCCCTTGTACAGGTTTTTGTTGTTGTTGTTGTTTTTGATGAAATAGAAGATATAATTTTAAAACTCCAGGTCAAACATCACTTACCAGAGCTGACCCAGATTACCAATCACTTAGAACCCTTTGAACATATTTAATCATTGCCTTAGTAAGAAACAGGCTCAAAAAATTTCTTTCTCTCAGTGTTTGTGTTGATTTTCATGCCTTTAGTGACCCTTGATTCAGTCTCATTTTTTTTCCAAAGACCAATTTCAGTTTCTATAGATTCTATGGGATTCTATCTTTGTTTCAATATAAACATTTTAGTACAAGAAAAATACATTTTCATTAAAGAAAAGGTAAGATAAGGATGAAAAGTTTAATAACATTTTAATATATTTTACTTTGGGTTTCTTCTATTTATGGTCTGAATGTCCATAAAGAGATAGGCAGGTACAGAAACTGATTTTTACCCATTTGGGATCACATTATCTGTACACAATTTTGTACTTTTTTTTTTAAACTTAACATTTTATGTTGATTTTCTTCCTATGTGACTGAGCCTTTGCTGAGTACAGGCATTGAATCAGGACAATTCTTCCTCCTGTGCAATGATTCCCATTTTCACTGCCAAAACTACTTCTGCTGAATACTAAAATTACAAGTGTTCCCCCCATCTGCCCTGGGAATGGTAATGTCAGCTCCAAGCACTGTGGAATCCCATGTCCTCTCTGGGGGCTCTGTAACCCTAATGTTGAACTGGTACCAGGTGCTCCATGCAGCCTCCTTGTTCTGTCCCTCCATGACCAGAACTGAAGGGCAGGTAAGGAAAAATTGCATGCAGATTATAAGAAAATCCAGAGTACAAAAAGCTTCTGGAAAATGCTTGTGCCCAGGGCTCTGCACTCCAGTTGAGATCAGAGGCAAATGATGTTTGATCCAACATTACTTGGAAAAGTCACAGAGGTGAAGAAATGGGTGGAATGGGGAAGAGAGAGTAAGCCTATCATTCCTTCCACATCATAAATGTTTTCAGTGCCTTGATTTTTCCTTGTTCATAAGTGTGTGTAAGTGGTTGTCTTCATCTACTTTGGTTTGCTATAACAAAATACCCAACACTGGATAATATATAAAAAAAAAGAGGTTTGTTTACCTCACAATTCTGTGACTGGGAAATTCAAACAGCATGACATCAGAGTCAGGTGATGGCTGCTGGCTATATCACAACATGGAAGATGGCATCACATGTGAGAGAAAAGCAAGAAACAAGGTTCACTCTTCATAACAACCCACCTTGAGGAAACCAACCCACTCCTGAGAGACCCAAGAACTCAGGGAGGGGAGGGCATGAGAGCGGTCATGACCCTGTCACCTCCCAGTCAGCTCTTTTTAAAAAATTGAGCCACCTTTCCACACTATTTTGTTGGAGATCAAGCTCCCAGCACATGATCTTTAGGAGAAACCATATCCAAACCTTGGAAGGGGTACTTTTCAAATAAACATTGAAAATAGAATTAAGACTTTGATGTAGAAGCCATCTATCTTCTAGTGACATTTACCTCCAGCTAGCAGTAATCTAACCCTCCTCTGCCATTAGGTTTTCTTTGGAAACATCTGAAGAACCTTCGTCTATCTTCTGCCTCCTTGAACATACCTCCCTCAGAGGGCCAGGAAACACCAGCTTGCTCCCTATCAAGGGAAAAGTGATCTGTACTTAACAACCTAGACACACAGATACATTTAACACTTTTAAAACAATACTTAATTAGATCACATTTTAAGTTTTATAAAATGTCAAATCAATGCCACTATTAGTGGAACATATAAAGAAAGTGACGTTTTAGAATAAAATTAGAAATATCACTCTCAATAGTTTTAAAAAAGATATTTGGGATTGCTCCATTTCTTTCTTCTGGCTTTTAACAGTTAAAAAGAATAATTTTTCAGGGGGTCTTCCAGGGCTGCTGCCTGGGGCCTCACTGGCTATACCTGCTCTCTTCCTTAGGTTTGGCCTTTAAAATCTTAAATAAATAAATAAATAAATAAATAAATAGAATCTTAACCAATACCGTGAAAAAGCCATGTAGAAGAGAACTGTGTTCAAAATCAGTTCCCAATGGGGCACAGCACTGCATGCCTATAATCTCAACTACTCAGGAGGCTGAGGCAGGAGGATCACAAATTCAAGGCCAGCCTGGGCAATTTTGTAAGACCCTGTTCCAGAACAAAAAGGAAATAGGGCCAGGGATGTAGCTCAGTTGTAGAGCACCCTATGTTCAATTCCCAATACCAAAAAAAAAAAAGTTTGAGGGACTGGGGATAGGGAGCAGTAGGGAGATGGGGGAAGAACCCAAAAGAATCCTCATTCCTTCAGTGGCAAAGGCTGCTCCATTTGATACATCTTCTGGACAAAGTAATAGTAAAATGTGGTGCTTAAATCCTCCTCCTTTAGATATTTACCTCTAGCTAGTGACATTTACCTCCAGCTAGCAGGCATTGCAGGGTTATAGGGAAGGAACATCCCAGATGACAATGTGTGTCCATCTTGTGGATGCCAAGTTTCCAGGAGAAACACATCAGCTGGCCAAATCCAGGTGAAAGACAAGAAATTACCAGCCCAGGTGTCTGACATAAAGGGTGGAGAGAGATTCTTGCCAAACTGTGTGAACATTTAAAAGGATCATGGAAAAGATCATATTAGACTGTGGTGTAATCAGGTACTCAGTGTAACCAGCTATGAACCACTGTTCTGGGGCCCTGTGCCCTAAGGCTTACAGAGTCCGGGCAGCAACAGGCTGAGTGCTAAGCTAGGATAAGAAAACAGGGGTAAAGCATGAGGAGTGACCATGAATATCGCCTCCTGTGGGGACTGTGAGGAGGAGGGGGAATGGTATGAACTAGTAGAACAGGTGCCTGGGCTTAGAGGGGGTGACCACCCCTCAACTCCAATACCACTGTTTTCTGTGCAGGAGGAAACTGGTCTGGTGGTATCAATCTTCTGGATTTTTCCAAAAAGGCTAGGAATCTGGATTTCTATTTCAAACTTCATTTTTTTTTTGTGTCTGTACTGGGGATCCAACCCAGGACCACATGAAAGCTAGGCATCTATCACTGAGCTATACCCCCAGTCCCTCAAACTTTTGGCTCAATTTTTTTTTTTTTAAAAAAAACGTAATGCCAAGTGAAAAACAAGCGCATTTGTGGATCATTCACTCTAATATACTTCTTTGGTCTAGACATCATTTTCTTTTTTCTTTTAATTTTTATTTTTTCTTTTTAGATACACATGTCGGTATAGTGCATCTTGACATATTATGCGTACATGGAGTATAATTTATTGTAATTAGGATCCCATTCCTGTG